TGCAGCCACAAAGCATCTTGGGGGATCAGTGGAGTGTCCCTCTAAGAATGTGACGTGGCCAGCAGACCAGCTGAAGTGTCTCTACACCAATGCCCACAGCATGGGCAACAAGCAGGAGGAACTGGAAGCTGTCCTGCTACAGAAGAGCTATGACATAGTAGCAATTACGGAAACTTGGTGGGATGACTCCTGTGACTGGAGTGTGGCCATCGATGGGTACAAGCTGTTCAGAAGGGATAGGAGAGGAAGAAGGGGTGGAGGTGTTGCCCTCTATGTAAAGAAGTGGCTAGAATGTGAAGAGTTGTTGCTAAAGAGTAGCCATGACCGGGTCAAAAGTTTATGGGTAGGAATTAGGGATTGGGACAACAAAGGGAGCCTTGTGGTAGGAGTCTACTCCAGGCCACCTGACCAGGCGGAGCCTGTCAATGATGCCCTCTTACTCCAGCTTGAGGAGGCATCACGATCACAGGCTCTCATCCTGCTGGGGGATTTTAACCACCCCAACATCTGCTGGAAAAGCAACACAGCTGGCTGCAGACAATCCAGGAAGCTCTTAGAGTGCCTAGATGACAACTTCCTGCGACAAGGAATTGCCTGGGCAATTCTATGATTCTATGAAGTTTGTATGTCAGTATTAGGAAGCTGATGGGAGACACAAGATAAAGCCAAAATGTACAAGATCAGCTGTGTGTAGAAGTGGCAGAGTGCAACTGGGTCACTGCCATGATGTTTCTTCACTGTCCAAGTTTGGTTTCTTCACCCTCTTCACCTTCAGGGAATTTTCCAAATAGGTGGCTACTTCATAAGCAAGTCCTAAAGGTCTAAGGTCCTAAAGACTCATTGCATTTTACACTGGGTGCTGCTTCTGCGTGCTGCTTACTGCTCTAGGGACAATGATCGAGTGGATTTTGGAAGGAAAAATCCCACCTTCTGTATAAAACAATTCCATTTTCCTGACAAGCCTGGATGTAATATTTATAGATCCTCACGTTGTTTTCCTTGTTTAAAAAATATACACCTCCTCCTCCTCCAAAATCTGTATCATCAGAGGTGTGAAGGAGAGAGGCGCACACTCATTTCTAAGATTAAATTCCTTTTATCTTCCTAACCACTAGTTTTCACTTAGGTAAGACAAGGAGGGTTAGGAGGACTCTGTTAAGCACAGGGTTCCAGTTCTCATCTTTTTTAGCCCAGATTTTTCAGTTTCTCTCTAATGGTTATTATTACTCCCACCTGCACCCTTAGAAAGACTATATTCTGAGACAGGCCAACCTGAGGACAGTACTCCTAGCACAGCAGAACGTATCTAGAGTTATAAAGGGGCTTATGATCTTTTCCTTTTTATTCTTTGCACCAGCCTTTTGTAGCCTAACATTTGCTTTCTGATTTTCATCTCTGTTGAGCAGTGATCCTCGGAGAGCCGTGATTAGTGATTTAGGACTGCATCCAGACTTACCGTAGCATTGAATTTCATATTGCCACCTCACCACATTGCCTTTTTCCCCATCTTACTCCTAGTTTTGCCTGGGTTTGCTTGACCCATATAATTTTGCAGTCTTGCTCTTTATCACCCTCCCCAGAACACGGCTACACATATATAACTGCACAAACCTTATGAATATATTTGCTCTACCTCAGCAGTCACCTTTTTCTCCCAACTCTTAGCCAGTTTCTAGTCCATAGCAACAAATTGTCTCCCACCTGGATCCTGCTGAATTTCTTTATCTGTTTGTTGTGAGGAATTTTGCCAAGGGCAGTTTAAAAATCTAAATAAATAATGTCAATTAATTTTCCTTCTCCTGTAAGATATTTTTCTGGCATTTAAAAGACTGCTAAATAGGTAAGAAGACATCATGTCCCTTCTAGCATGGGCCCTATGAGGCTTTAGAGGGCATGTTATTATGGTTATAATTATCTCCATAACCAATTCACAAAAGTACAAATCCAGGAGATTAGAATTTTTCTAATAAAGAAGTAAGGCACATTGTATTTGAATAAGAATAAATGCTTTTGAAAATGTAATGCTTCTGATTTCTTTCTTAATAGCAAAAAATGTGGACGTTGTGGAAACTTACTGCATTCGGAGGATAAGGTCCCCCTCTGCAAGCCATTTGTGCGGTCATTAGAAGGACAGGCCACATGGTGTTGTGTTGATCTTGTAGAACAAGACATCCATATGGGAGATCTCAGGACTGCCAATGTGTTCAGTTACAGCCACCTTGTTTGGCAGGAAAAATGCTACTAACATTTAGGTGAGATTTTCTTCAGAACTCCTCAATTGTTACATGGGCCTCTCATTTTTCTTGATTTATCAGCACACTGGCAAATATAAAACACCCTATAAAACAACGACTTCATGCTTTAGTGTTGATTTGGCACTAAAGTACTTTGACATACTTATTCATTTAACCAAAATTTCATTAATGATGATAAGCCATCGCTTTGAACAGTCTTAAAGACTGATAGAATGAGTTGTTTGATTAAATAAAAATCAAATTGTTAAGCATCACATCAAAACATCAGATCACACTTCTCCTTCAGTCTCCTTCTAGAATCCCATGTCATTTTTATGAGGTGTAACTATCGTCCACATTCCTCATTCAGCTGGTCAAAATGTGTCGTCCCATATGCTCATGTCTATAGGGCTCTGCTGTGTTTCTGTCCAATCACCATTTTTCCCCCCATTTTGAGTTGCCAGGGCATCTCATTACAAGATACGTCTGGTGTTCAGAAGGGCCTGGTGATCTTTCTATGGCAACACACTCCATTGGGTAGACGTGCCCTAAAGGCCTGGACAAGCATCAGCTGAAGATGACAAGTCCAGGCTCAGAAGCAGCGGGGAATGTGGGTGTATTTTGGCTTTTGACACCACGCACAGAAACATCAGGGTCCCACATAAAGCCTGGGGTGATATGTTAATGCCAGGAAGTCTGAGGGAAACTTTCTGGCTTTAAAATTATTTAACCAGGGAATCAAGGAGGGAATTAAATTTCTCTAGCAATTTAAGGATTATGAGGTTTTAACTGATTACATAGATTTATTTTTTTTAAAATCTGTGGCTTCATTTCCCTCTTTTATTAATTAAATCCTTTCCACTTGAGTGTGTAGATTTCCTTTGTATGTATAGAAAGATAACTTGAATCAACTTTCATTTTTTGTTCTAACAGAGTACCATTACTGAAGAAAAAACAATTTTCATGATGGAAGGCCACTAGAAGGAAATCCGGTAAAGACCATGACTTTTAGTAAGTTAAGACCACTACTTGTTCATTAGATGTTATTGTCATCATGGATGTCTTGACATGATTTGGTGGAAGCTTCTCTAATCTATCCCCGTGTGCCATTTTACTCTATTACAAAGTGCTGGCCTTGTTTTCTCCCTCGAGTATGGGTTAGCTGTTTGCTCAAGCCAGTGCTGGATGTAGTCCATGACTAACGCTTTTAACCAGATGGCTGTACAGATAGCTCTTTTTCAATTATTTTTTTTCAATATTTTCTTCCTGGATCTCTTATCTATATTTATCTTGAGGTTCTAGCACCATATGTCCATTTTATATACCTTTTAATTACTTGGACTTGCTACACAATGTTTTCTTTTTGAATGACTCCAGAGTAAAATTACCAAATTGCTATAATCCATGGTTGTTTTCATACTCTAATGTTCTTTTTCATAATCTATTTAAAAGTAATTCTGGTACCTTATCAAACTAATGCTGCATCCTCTGAGATAGAATCAAAGAATCATAGAATGGTTTGGGTTGGAAGGGACCTCCAAGATCATCCAGTCCCACCCCCTGCCCTGGGCAGGGACACCTCCCACCAGCCCAGGTTGCTCCAAGCCCCATCCAGCCTGGCCTTGAACCCCTCCAGGGATGGGGCAGCCACAGCTTCTCTGGGCAACCTGGGCCAGGGTCTCACGGTCCTCCAGATGATCCAGAGATATTTTCAGAAAACAAAAAAGGTTTGCCCATTCATTGATCAAAATTCATGAATCCTGAGTTCTGCGTCCATCACATTCCTGCTTTTAGACACGCAAATCTCATCATCAGTTGGCAAATATAAGTGAGCTGGTTTCTAGATAGAAATGCCATCATGTTCCTTTATAATGGAAATCTGTGTGAATGAACACTTGATTTTGCAAGTGATTTTTGTGACTGCACAAATACGTTCCCAATCTGGGGCTGTGTTTTCCACTCAAATGTTTAAATTTACTTACGTGAATAATGTATTAGAAACACTCTTCTTTCTTTTTTTTTTTTTTTTTTGTAAATTTAAACATATTGCATGTACAACGTCTCACTAGGGATGGCTCTAGTCTGTGTCATGAACAAGAGTCACAGATCATTGCTGAAGTAATTTACAAGAGTAAGAAAACATTTTTTATAGGTTTAACTAATTTCTTCATCAAAAATCACAGCTTTTATTGTAAATAACTATTTGTATTAAGTAGGCTGAACAGGGCATAGATCACATTGATTCAATACATCTTCCTGGATGTAGCATGTGGTGAATAATTCAGGGAGACCTCTTTGTTTTTTGAGCCTTTCATTCAGTGCCTTCCCACATGGTGTTGTGTTGATCTTGTAGAACAAGACATCCATATGGGAGATCTCAGGACTGCCAATGTGTTCAGTTACAGCCACCTTGTTTGGCAGGAAAAATGCTACTAACATTTAGGTGAGATTTTCTTCAGAACTCCTCAATTGTTACATGGGCCTCTCATTTTTCTTGATTTATCAGCACACTGGCAAATATAAAACACCCTATAAAACAACGACTTCATGCTTTAGTGTTGATTTGGCACTAAAGTACTTTGACATACTTATTCATTTAACCAAAATTTCATTAATGATGATAAGCCATCGCTTTGAACAGTCTTAAAGACTGATAGAATGAGTTGTTTGATTAAATAAAAATCAAATTGTTAAGCATCACATCAAAACATCAGATCACACTTCTCCTTCAGTCTCCTTCTAGAATCCCATGTCATTTTTATGAGGTGTAACTATCGTCCACATTCCTCATTCAGCTGGTCAAAATGTGTCGTCCCATATGCTCATGTCTATAGGGCTCTGCTGTGTTTCTGTCCAATCACCATTTTTCCCCCCATTTTGAGTTGCCAGGGCATCTCATTACAAGATACGTCTGGTGTTCAGAAGGGCCTGGTGATCTTTCTATGGCAACACACTCCATTGGGTAGACGTGCCCTCTTCCATGAGCAGAACATTGGTGCTCACCATTGTGCTCATCACGTCCACGCTGCCAGTAGGATCCTCCCCATACATCTACCTCATTTTTCTTGGTTCAGGCAATTTTTTTTGTGCTATTTTGAATAAGCCTGAAATTATCGGAGGTGACAGCTCTCAAATATTTTCTTTAATTTGCTACTATAAAAATGGTACCCACTAAAAAGTCAAAATTTATCATGCTGATGTAAAAGCTGTTAAATACTTTGAACATGGCTTAAATAAAGTCTTTAAAAGATGACTTTATTTAAGACTTCCAAAGACTTCCAAAAGACTTTATCAGAAGAGTTTCTTTGAGAGAGAAAAAAAACCTCATACAGAGAAAAAGCTAATTAATATTGGACTCACAAAGAGGGACCAAAATTCCTCTCACGTAGTCAAATAAATGATACTTTTCTGCTCACTAAGGCAGAAAGCTGTCAGGGAGTGTTGGCCTCCAGAGGGCTTGGAGATGGTCATCAGCCTCAGGGGAGTAAAATCTACCTGTGGATGACGGTCATAGCAAGAAAGCAGAAGCTGCAGCCCATGGAGATAGGACCAAAAGGAGCAGGGACCTGACTCACCCATAACTCAACCCCTCCAGTGCCAGAGAGAAACATTTTAGGGCTCAGAGGGACCTGGATGCAAATCAAAACCTACTGTGGTCATAGTAACCAAGTCGAGATGCAAGAACCTCCCATCAAGAATCTGTGTGATGGAGAAAGGAGATTGGTTTATCTTAAATTTTATTTCTGCTCTGTCTTATTTAGTTACTCTAAGTTTTCTCTCTTTTAACGGTTAATTATTTTGGTTTATACTTTAAAATCTGGCTTTGAGTTGAAGGAGCTTTTTGGCCTTCTGGTACCCACCCCAAGGCAAGGGTCAAGGCATGCATCTCAGAGCTTTACCTGGTCCTCCTCTCTCACCATTGCTCATGCATCCTTTGCTTACGGGTACGCACTGTTTGAATTTATCAGTATTGGCTGAATTAGTGCTTACATCCCGTGAAAATGCCAGGTTTTCAAAATTTGTGCTTTGTCAGACAAAAGAAACATTGACACTTCTTTTTTACACAGAAATCATATTTCACAGCATCCCATTATTTTATTTTGTTCTGTGATTCTAATCTAAACACAGCTTCTTGACATTCCCAGGTGCTGGGTTCACTGAGAGCTTACCCAAAGCCTTTAGTTTCATCTTCCTCCAATTTACTCTGGATTTTGAGCTACGACGTTGCTGACTCCTGATGAGCTGCTCTTTGTGCCTCTGCTCAATCTTAACTCATTTTATGAAACTTTAGTACCTCAGTGCTGGGTAACCCAGTCCCAAACTAAATCTTTCATTTCCCAGTGGCAAGCTGAAATATTTCGACTTTCTCCTTTAGGTTTGGAGGTTGTCATTTAGTCGGTTTTTAATTTTGAAAATTTCCTAATCAGCTCTGTACATCATTTATAAAAATACTGGGCTTAATTTAAGCAAGAAGTTTTTGCTCTGTTCTGAAGGAAGAAAACCCTCAAGTTATTTAATAGTCACTATATTTTTTTTATCCTGTCCCTATGGGGCACTTTTATGGGCACTTTTATGGGGCATAAATTGGGACAGATTTATGTCTTCTCCCATGGGCTGCTTTCCCCATTTGGACTTAGTTTAAGGGCATCCAGGAACTTGGGAAAAATCTCCAAACATCCTATGAATGTGTTTTTGACTTACAGAAATGTGTTTTGTTTGGTTTTTTTTCTCCTGTTTCACTGTAATAGTCTTTGTAAAGAACTAAGTTATGAACATGGGCCTCTGCTCTTAGGTATCTAATGGAGACCTTACCTTCCGATACCACACTATTATTTTGTAGCTATTTCTGCAGCTAGAGACCTACTTCAATTCCTGGAAAAACTGTGCTGGTTTTGAATTCTGACTCCCTGTTGCCCTGTTGGTGCTCTCTCCTTATCTCCTCCTTCACAGCATTTCCTTTTTCTCCCCCTGGCTTTGTAACCACCCCTTCCACTTACCACAAACAGCACTGGGCAGGGCATCCAAAAAAGGCTCCTCGGGACCGTGGGAGAGGCACAAAGAACCTCGGGTGATGGCATTTTGGTACATGTTTATTTCTACGCCGGTTGAGATCCTCATTCTTTAGTCTGAATCAATTCAAAGCAAGCTAAAGGTCATGCTCATTTTGGCCAGGCAGCTGAGATGATTTATAATGCGTATTTCTCCAGTTTTAACCGGGGTCAAATACTTAAGAGAGATGTATCTGAGATGTTAACAGCTTCCTAGCCTAAGTACAAGGGAATATTTTTGTTATCCATTCTTTTTTTCTTTTTTTAAAAAAGGAAAATTTGAATTTACAATTGTACAAGGGAATATTTTTGTTATCCATTCTTCTTCTTTTTTTAAAAAAGGAAAAATTGAGTTTACAATGAAGAATATATAAGAAATTCTTAGATTAAATCTTTTTCTGTTTATTTTCTTTCTGCCTTTTCTATTTTTTTTAAATTGAATATTGAAATTGTACAATAGTATGTGTTTCACCTTAGGACTTTGTTTTCTTCTACAATAATGTTCTTTTGTTTCCATAATTACAGTGAAATTCTGTCATGTCCAAACATATTTTTAAAAGTTGGCATTTTTGTGACTATTAAAACACCTTTTTATCTACACGACTCCTGTGTTACTGTTTATTTCTGATTATAAGGTGAGAACATCCCAAAGAACATCCCATTTCCTCATTCACACTCACAATTATTGGGGGGGGGGGCATGTATGTACACACACAGACATATATTTGTATATTTCCATACAAAGACCAGAGCAGAGGATTTCATAACTATTCTGTGGCCACAACTGAATATTCTGAAGCTATTAAATAATGCATTTTTACACTGACATTATGTCAAGTACTCATGGAATTTGTGACATTTTCTATTCTAAGTGTCTAGAACTCTATAATCACTATAGAATTACAGTATTATTTGTGAATACTATGCTGCCCACAAAAACTTGGCTTAAACCTGGGGAAATGC